CAATTTGGATTTTACTTTGATGCACTCATGAAAGTTCTTTGCAAAGTAGTGGAAGTATAGTTTTGCAGGAGATTTTGTTTTAACTGTACATGATGGTAAGTTAGAGAAATGGTAACTTTAAAAAAAGAAGATGAAGCTAAGCTTACTAAAATACACAATTTAAAAAATTAACCTGTTTCCAAAGATAGAGGAAGTTTCTGTGAAAAACTTCTGTGAATTTCAGACACCTGAAAAAAAGTTAATTTCTGATCATATTTATTATTTTTCATTATGATGAATCCCAGAGTTACAATTTCATGCATTATTTTTAAGCATGCTTTCTTACCAGATGTAATTAACAATGGATGCACATGATTTATTTATAAAAAGTGTCCTTTTGACAGTGGTGTGTTGTTATCTTTGTTGTCTTGATGGAGATATTGTGCCTGTGTAACTCCAAGCTCTTTTAAGAGGATGTGACTAAAATCTCATGTATTTAGAGAAGATCAACATTTCCACATGCCCAATTTTTAAATGTAAGGAAGTAGAAGCGGAAGAACTAAATAAACTGAATAGCCAATCTGGATTTCATAACACAAAATTCACTCTTCCCCTTTCCTAACTACACCAGCGATAGGATATTTACCTCAGTCCTACATCTATTTCCTTTGAAATATGTTGTTTAGATCCTAGTTCCAGATGTATAAGATTACAGCCTTTTTTCTTGTTCTATTAAAGTTTTAGAATCGCTATCTACTATTACAAACTAATAAATTATTTTTTTTTAATAATCAAGTAAATGTATGAAGTACTTAAAGTACATTTTAAACTTAGTTAAAAACTTTTAAAATATTTTTTTATTTACATTTCCTATTAAAAATAGTGCAACAAACCGAATCCATATTTCATCTACCTTCTAATATATAAACCTTTCTAACTAACTCCCATGTAATTCCCATCAGATTGTGTTTATAATTTGTATAAAAAAGATGTATGCATTGTTAAAGAAATTATGAGCTCCTGATTTAGAAAGGTTTATATTCTGGAGTTCTCTGTTGCCAAGTGCAACTGGATCAGGGCATAAGTTTTAAACTAGATTTCTTTTTTAAAAATATATAATTAACTAGGTGAAAAGCTTGGGTAATTTCCCTTGCATGTATTACATCATCTAAAAAGTAAATATAAAATACTTGTAGTTTTTTTAGGGTAATCTTTTCAATTATAAGTAAATATATTAAATGTTTTTGTGACTGAAATGATTTTATCTTCAATGTGTTTTGAGCTCTTCCTTTCCTTAATTACTCCATTGAAAAAAAAATCTATTATTTGGTGCATATTTAATCCTTTTTGCAACTTTGAGCTGAATCAAGAACCCAGTCAGAAGGCATCTATTGTTGTTTTCCAAAACCAAAATGACAGTAATCTTAGAGATATAGTTATAAAAGTAGACTATATAGATATTGCAAATATTATAATAGCAATAAATCCAAACCCTTGTCTTGGTCCTCTGGGTATTTATAAAATACCAAGCTCTTTAATTATAATCCTTGATTCTAAAATGTAATCTTGTCCATGTACTATTGCTCCAAAATCATCAGAAACCTTTGTTAGTATTAGTTAATTTGATCTTGGAAAGATTGAATTGCTTGAGGGATCAATTACCTCAGAGAATAAACTGTGCAATAAGGATATGTATACAGTGAATGGCACGTGCATGTACATGAAGGGATAGAGATATATCGATCAAATTGTGAGGGCTTTTTTTTCCAGATTCTAGACACAGAAATGAGAAAAGAGTGAAGAATATGTACATAAACCAGAAGAGTCTTGTCTCCAGAACTGGAAGTAACAGAGATGGCATATGAAGAGTTTGTAGGTGCAGTATTGTGTGTTTCTGTTTGTGCTTGGACTATATTGTAGAACATTCTGTACTTGACATATATTTTGTGATTTGTTTAATATTTATAAACACAAACTCTGGGAAGAATTAAATAGGGATTATTTCTCTGAAATGCAAATGGGCAAGAATTCCTGGCATGGGTAGGGCGGGAAATGTACCTGTAAACTTGAGCCTTATCTTTGTAAAGTGAATTTAACATTTCTATGTCCACATCTTGTTTTATATGTTAATGTAATGATAAGACTCCCTAATAAAATATCTATTGAAAAAAGCCACCATGGGCTGACAGACTCATATTTAAATGTGATGGTGCTGAAAAAGACTTATGACTGATCCTCAGAGTTGCGGTCAATGCAGCACAATTTCCACTATCTCATGATCACAATTTGGGTATTTGGCAACTGGGATGTCAATGTCCTGCAGTCACATAACATCACACTTAAGGCCCACAGCAACTCATTTAACAACCACAGCCAGAACTGACGAACCGATGTTGTAAGCCAGGCATGGTCCCATGATTTTTCACTTTACAACTAAATCAGGTAGCAACAGAGTTGCTATTCTCAATTGTGGCTTATAAATGAGGACTACATGTATGACACAATTCCCCATTTTTATCTCCACAACAATGAGCCTATGAGGAAGTTGGGCTGAAATATACTGAGTGGTCCAAGGTAATGCAATGAAGTTCCAATGTTGGAATCCACCAGAACTAGTTAAGACTTGAATCTGGGCCACTCTAGCCTTGTTCGAGACATGATATCACATTGGAATTCTTATCTACTTGGTAAATACAAATCAGTGATATAATCTTTATATCTGATGTCCTTAGGAGTGTGCAATGGGTAACGTGATATAATTTGTATTAATGGTTTTGTGCTTTATACGGGTAGTCCTGGACATATAGCAGTTCATTTAATGACCGTTCAATTACTATGGCACTGAAAAATGTGACAAGTGTTTTTCAGTTATGACCTTTGCAGCATTCCCATGATCATGTGATCAAAATTTAGTGGCTTGGCAACTGGTTCATATTTATGACAGTTGCTGTGTCCCATGGTTATGTGATCACCTTTTGTGACCTTCTAATAAGCAAAGTTAATGGGGAAGTCAGATTCACTTACAGGTTATTTACTTAAAACTGCAATGATTCACTTAATAGATGTAGCAAGAAAGGTTGTAAAATGGGGCAAAGCTAACTTAGCGAATGCCTCACGTAACAATATAAATTTTGAACTCAATTGTGGTTGTAAGTCCAGGACTTCTGTACACATAATGTGAAATTCATGTGATGGCATCATAACAAATGTGACATTATCAAAGCTTGTACTGGATACTTAAGAATGTATAAAAACTATCATTTCCCAGAACAACATTTTAAGTATTCCTAGCCAACTGATCGGTAATGCAGTTTATTTGGAAAGCAAAAGGAAGGAGTAGCTGTGTTTAAAAATAATATTTCTATATTATGAATCTAACAAACATTAAGCAGTTTATAATAAACACTAATAGAACATTAAAACAGTCTCTTTAAACTTTCATAGTAGTCAAAAGCAAGCTTTCTGGGGAAATCAAAGGTAGATTTATTTTTAATAGTTTCCAAAACTGAAGTACAAAAAGAAAATTGACAAACCTTGTAAAAAGGCAGTTTCAGAGTAAGCAGGACAACAGAAGGGAATTTTAATTAGAAACAAAGGCAAACAGCTACCTTATGGGAGAAATCTTTTTGCCTCCGTTGAGGACATAAGAATGAAGTGTTTGTTTTACTTGCAAGATTCTTCTACCTGGAGATGACAGGGAACATCCTTTAGGATGAGCTAATCAAGCAACAGGATCTCCACACCTCAACCTCCCTTTTCTCATTTTGGCCTAATTTTAGTAATTTTTTTTTAAAGGAAACCTAGAATGACCACTTTGCTGACCTTTTCTTCATAGCCAGGCAGCCAAATACCCCAGGCTAATGCACTTTTATATAGCTTGCCACCTGGCACTAAATTTATCTGATGACAGTTGGTACAGCTGACTTTTATTCAATAAAAACTCCAATCACCACCCCTCCCCCAAATCTTCAAAAGGCATTTATGACATTATCAGCAGCAAAGAGACAACGGAGAGAAACGAGAATCAAATCCCAATCTTGTATGGAGTCTCCAATCGCGGTTCCTTCTTGGGTTTCCAAACTCTAAACCTGCAGGTGCAGGGAAGCTTCTCTGCGCAAACTGCGTTTGTTCCGCCATTCGAAGCAAAGCTTGCGCAGGAGGCGCGACGGGGGAGAACGCAGCGCAATTCCTTCAGAACTTTACCGCGGTCAGAAAAAGAACTTTCCCCCACTTACTTTCTCTGAATCCGACAGCGCCCACTAGTGCAATCATGTGCTCACGCAAGGAAAGTTTGGCTTCTTGTCCCTAGAGTAGCTGGAGCCGATTTATTTTGAAGAAAGTTTCCAGGACTTGAAAAAAGGATAAACCGGCGGCGGCGGCGGGAGGGGGGGTCCCTTGGTGCTTCCTGAGCTCGCTTTTTTTCTTGCAAACCTTTTATCACCTAAACTAGGTAACATTATCTGCGCCGGTAAACTGTTTGCTGTCAGTTTATATTCTGGTGACTTGCCTTCTGTGTGGGTGGGGGTTTCTTTAGATGGGCTGTTTACTAAGGGCTCTTTGGCAGTTTCTTGATTGGGGTATTGTTTACTTGATTGTTGGTCTGAAGTTAACCTTGGAGTAGGATCAGGAGATACACACGGCAGCCGAAAGCCTATTGAAACGCACGCTCAAAATTCATCTGATAGGCTTAGTTAGGATTGTTAGGATGAAGTCAGATATATCGGCACTGGTTAATGGGGTGTTGAATTACAACTACCAATCTAGGTCATTTGGCTGGCTGAGGGGTTGGAGTTCCTGCGGCCGGGTTTGGAGGAGAAAGGACGGGGGGAAAGGCGGGCGGGGACGGCTGAACGAAAAATATACGGGAAGGAGAACCCGGTTCAGACGCTTCTCAGCCAAGGAGAACGGAGCTAAGATCTCCTTTTCCCTCAACAGCCAGCTCCACCCTCGGTCCTCGGTTGCCACGGGGATGGCCGAGTACACATTTCCCACAGCTGGTGTTAAGAGAGAACTTCCCAGCGGCTCCTTCATCTTTGCGCCTCTTCTTTACCCTTTTCTTCCAAGGGGGAGGAAAGAAAGAGAGAGAAAGAGGTCGGCCCAAACTGTAGTCTCTTCGAGGGCGCCGCGAAAATTGCAACCAAGGCGCGTAAGGAAAGCTTTTCTCGCTGCTGCTCAAGGGAGGCTCGCAGTTTCCTTGCTTTCGGAATTTGGTTAGGAGGATGCTACTTAGCGACGGAGGAGGTGGGTTTTACTATCTGTAGCTCAGGCTCGTGGTTGGAAAGAGAGGTTTGTTGAGGTTGTCGGGCCGAAATCCGAACAAGGCTGCCCAGTGTTATCTGTCAGAAATGGTGTAGTAGGGTTTGTGCCTGGTGGGGTTGGACTAGATGATCTACAAGGTCCCTTCCAACTCTTGTTATTCTGAATGAATGAAATTCTCCCCACCCTTCAAGTCTTGCACAAAGAAAGAATTCCAGAGAGACATTTATTTTATTTATATCCCTTCCAGAAAACTTAAGGTTGCGAACATATCCAACACACCTTCCAATTTTCCTTGCAACAACAATCCTGTAAGCTGGGCTGGGCTGTGAGGGAGAGACTGGCCCCAAACCACCCAAGCTGGCTTTTGTGGCAGAACAAACTCATAATCTCCTGCTTTCTAGCTAGGTGCCTTAACCATTTGACCAAGGTGGCCTAGAATCAAACTGACATCTCAAGCCTTGTACCCTCTATTTTTTCTAGTATATTAGAAGGAGCTGGCATGACATAAGAATGCTGTGTTGTCACACACTCTGTGAGTCTGAGAAATAAGATTTGGGCATTTCATAAGATGTTTTTTTCCCCCTTATTGGAAGAAATGCCCTTATGGGTTCAGTTCCAAGTGGGGAAAAACACACTGGAAACATGGAGGCTGCTTGGAAAGATGGTTTAATGGTGGGCAGGATCACATGGCTTGAGGGGAAAGGGGGGGTGTCACATGCTTCAAGATGTTGGGTGAAGAAGAAAAAGGGCTGAGATGCTGAAAGTTTCTGGTTTTATGCCCTCTCTGGGCTTTGAACTTGAGCTTGTATTCTGATTGGTTGTCAGACTTCCATGGGGCCATGCAGGGGCAACTCTATAGGCTGTGCTTTGAGTCCAGGTTTGGTTGCTTTGCTGACTGATGTACTTCCCAGTTGCCAAGTGGTGAGATGGGTAAATGGCTAATCCTTCCTTTGTTATGTAGAATAGACTGGCCCAGGCCCCAAAGGTGTGTGTGTGTGTGGGGGGAAGCTGCAGGGAGCTACTTTGTCTTTAAAAAAATATTTCTCCATTTCTCATCCAGGGAAATATAGCAATAGCAGTAGTAGACTTATATACCGCTTCATAGGCCTTTCAGGCCTCTCTAAGCGGTTTACAGAGAGTCA